CTTCCATAATAATAACATTTTTCTTGTATATAGTGATGGGAGGAAAGAATTGTTCATGTTTTTATTAATCGCCCCTCGGCATTTACAGAATTTTATACGAGTACCCTTGACCGGATGTGGTGAAATTCCTCTGGTAGGGAGTGTCAAAAAGTTTCCCGCGTTACTGGAGTTCAGTGAACGTATAAATTTTGAGGTGGTGTAACACTGCGCTTGGTTTCTGACCAATCAGAGAAAATATACAGGAGGAAGTAAAGAGTTCAGCTCCAGGATTTTTGAGTTATGAGGTGCGGGATAAAAAGGGAACGCACACGAATTTCGACAGCGAACCTTTCCCAGAATTGCAGAATGTCTTTCCAACTCGGACTGAGCAACCATCATGTCCAACCTCCCCATATTCACTTTTTCTCTCTCAAGCTAAGTTTTATTTCTTTGATCTTTTTGTTTGTAGAATTAAAATTCCTTTTTAAGTGTGCTTAAAATAAATTTATCTTAAACGTTACAGGTTAGTTCTGTTGATTGATGATTCTTGTTTATTTTAACTTTGGTCATGATGCGATGTGAAATTATGGAACCTGGGTTGATTTAAAAATTAATAAAGTTAAAATAGCGTCGCATCAATAGCTAAAACTTCTATATGGTGGCAAACCTAGAATTTTTGAAAAATCTCGTTATTTTCAGAGTTACGATAAACTGAAATAAAAACGAGTGTTTTTTTTTAAAAAATCTCTATTTTGATGTAATAAAATATGACCAGCTGTATATAAGCAATATATTATGATTATAGAAGCATTTTTCATAAAAGGAGAATGTTTTGAAAATATGCCAATATCTTCCTTTATTTTTTTTCTCCTGAAAAATTGCATTTAATAATTTTTTTTTCATAATATTATTCTTAAGATAATTTTATATTTATATTCTAATTAAACTGACATTAAATATCACAAAGAAAAATATTCATTTATGAGTTTTTTCAAATTCACGGTTCCGAACGTATAGTCAGTCACATTTTTAATTCTATTAGTTATTTAATACACAAATATAGGAAGTTTCGGGCTTCGAGAGTCTCTGAGGGACCATCCGTTTAGGGGTGTAAGGCAGCGTTTCTCAAACTGCGAGGCGCGCCCCCCCTTGAGGGGCGTGGCGAGCACATTAAAAAGTAAAAAGAAATTTAAAAAAATAATTTTCCGAAATTTTTTAAATAAAGAAAATACATTTCTGGCATAATGAAAAGTAAATTACACAATTACACTGATATATTATACTTATAAATGTATCAGTGCTACACAATGTATTTTATAATTAATTTAACAATACGAAGTTAAGAACAAGTTTAATAATTACCATGAGATTGTCACATATAAAATTAACATTTAACTTTATAATTAGTACGGTTTAAAATTAATCCCTTAACTGGAGATTAAAAGTTACACGGTTCGCTACCCAATGCCAACCATTTACCGCGTAGATGCGCGTATGTGATGTATTGGGGGAGGGAAAGGAATAAAGAAGCAAAACTATTCTAAAAGAAGAAAATCCTTAGCAATCATTGTCAAGGTCCTTTTATTGCATTCCAAAGCCTTCGGAATAATTTTATGGATGGAAGTGCAGAGAAAAGATCGTACTTTGTAAACACGTATATATACGTCCGGGGAAATTAATGCTTTGACTGAGCGAGACGTTTATATACGCCGGTGGCACTAAAGAAGTTAAGGTCGTATCGTAGTTTTAGAGTATTATTGAATTCAATACATCGTTATTGTATGAGGGGGGCGCGATGAAAATCATGATTGAATATAGGGTCGCGAATATTGAAACTTTGAGAAGCACTGGTGTAAGGCTATGGAGTAATTTATTTGATAAAGAATTTCTCTTAAAAATCAAATATCGTACCAGAACATTCTTAAGAAAACTTCAATGGTTTTACATCAAACTTAAATAATAAATTTCACACCATCAACAACAAATATCAACTAAAGACATTTATGATTTTACTAATTCAACAGGCATAATCATCGGTAATTTAAAATTTTTATCTAAACGACGAATCCTTATTGTGCCTGTTTCCAAACAATGGAATGACATTTTCAAAATTATCAAAAATAAAATTAATGCTTTGGGGAAAAAGCTGAATTATTTAACGAAAAATAACTTACCTATCGATGAGATACCTAAAATTAATTGTAATAAATATAAAACTCATTTTAAAAACAAATTATGCTAAATAAACAAAGATGTATGGGAAAGTTTTTGTTAATAGATTGAAGATTAATTTGGACTATCCTCTAAAATAGTTTTTAGTAAAAACAGACTAATTTTAATTTTTCTGAAATCTCTCTTCCAAGCTTTCCAGATACAACTTCTAAATAGAAAATATACACTTTACTTGAAACCTCGTTGATTTCAAAGTTTGTTCGTCCTATTTCAATTAATTTCAACCTCTCTCAGAATCTTCGTCCGGAGGATATAGATACTGCTTTCAAGGATCTCAGGAGTAAAACTGTTGGCCTTGACCTCTATTTTTCTACCTGGAAACTAATTTATGCTAATGATAATTGAAATTTTTATTCTTTGCTGGAAACTTTCTTATGCTTCACATACTCTTAAAAATGTTAAAATTAAGTTCTTTTTAAAACCAAGTAAAACCCGTCGTCCGTTGAATCATATTGACCCATCCTCTCCACCTTTCGCAAGATATTAGAAAGAGTATTTTTTTATTAATAGATACCAAATAAGGTTTACTCATAGACTATGTTATTTATTCTAATTCTCGTGTATATAATCTTAAAGAAAGAGCACCAATGGTCTAAAATTTTAAAAATAAATACCAAACTTCGTATTAGCATTAATAAACATCCTAAGCGCTTTCAATAATATTTTTGATCCATATAATGCTCTATATCATTTTCAAAATTTTATATATTCCTATCTTATATTAATATCAGAATAATTTTTAATAGCCAAAACGCTTACATTAAATGTCTCATTTCCAAAAGTTGTTCAGAGAGTTTGGTAAAAACACTATAATCCAAAGGAACATCTATTTAAGTCAGATTCTAAATCTAAATAATAATAGATGCTCAGTACAAGGTTTTGCCTATGATTTAGTTGTAGTTTCACAATAGAGCTAGTAAAATCTTTCTCTATTACTTTTCCCACTAAGTCTAGACTCAGTACGGCGTGCCAAAAGAATAGAATTCTATGTTTCTAAATATAGGAACAAAAAAAATCAAGTGCTATTCACCGCGCTAAACACAAAACCCAAGAAACTATCTCTTCTTCGTACAGCAAAGTCCTGTACGTCGAGCTAAAACAAAGGAATTTCTTTTCCTTTACACAAAATTCAGCCCAACACCTTCGAACTCCAAAACCAAGGGACTTTCTTTTCCCTGTCCACCTTGTTCGGAGATCAACCACCTTCTCCCTCAAAAATAGCAAACTCCCAAGCTGGTGTGAGGAATGTCACCACACTCTTAAAAAATCTACCGCCTACAGTAGCCAGACACTACAAGGACTAACTATAAAAAAGAACGTGAACAAAATACTACGTAATGAATAAAATTAGTAATAAATCAAATAGCCTACAACTGGAATTTTCAGTTGAAACTATTCCAGTTGTCTTTAGAGGTGCCCTTAACCCTAGATATTTTAACTTAAATTTGTGTTACTGTGTAACAAATCATTAGACTCAGAGACTACGAATCAAAAATGAGTATATATATTTTTGTATTTCCTTTATTTATTTAATACAAATTAGCGTATCTTGTGAGAAGTCTTTTATTATTTCATTTAAAAAATAGAAAGGTGGAAAAAAGCGTTTACATTCTTGACACAGATGATTAAGCGTGTTCTCCATAAATAGCCTTGTTGCAGTAGAGCATTTTGTCATTCTGCTTGAACAGAAATTTCTTCATCTACAGGGATGGGTAGTTAATCAGAAGAACGTTTAGTTGATTTAGAGTTAAAATTACGATCGTTGAGCCCGTCTTGGTTCCTTTTTAAAGAGAACCTCAATTTTTAAAATTAATGGCAAGTCTATGAAAGGTGAAAAACACAATATGTTTAATAATTGATAATGTACTTTCCGGTCACCACACATTAATTACATCAAAGATAGAGCATATACATCCTCGATTCATTTCAATAGAATCACCCAAATTGAAGTCATATCATAACAATAATATTTTCAAAGCGTGCGAATTCCCTACGGGACGAAAGCGTGGAGTGGTGCACTCAATTTCCTACAAATAACTAAAGAAAAATTTATACAGCATATTTTTTTGTTAAAAATAATTAAAGCACAGCCTCTTTCCTACAGATGTTTTTATATCTGTACAGGTATTCTTTCAAAAGTCCTTTAACTATCAGAACTATTTATCTTTACCCGGGAGCCGTCACGCGGGGCACTCATTCACCATAGGTTCACGAAATCTTTAATTCTGGGAAAACTGCTTATTTGTCATCAATGACCTTATCAGTATCCTCCTACATAACAGTCTCCATGGGAGCTAAAATGTTTTTTGGGAATGGCAAATGTTTTTTACAATCTTAAAGTACTTGGGGTGACTGAGTTCCCCGCGCGACCACTTTTATTCTAAAATATTTTCTATGACAGGCTACATTTCCCCCCTGTGAACGACTTATTGAGTATAAGTCGGGATAGCTGTGTTGTAGGACTCATTATGGTTTATAAATGTAAATGAACAGAATATAAACAAGTACTATAAAAAAGTCAATTCCTACTTGTCAACAAAGAAAAATGTTAGTTTAGTTACTTTTTACTAAATAATTTCAAATAATATAAATATGTAACGCATGACAGAACCACAATATTAATAGAAAAGATTAATATAAAATAGAAAGCAAATTTGCTTGCAATTTTCCTTTTTATATATGGTGTAGGACTATTATTTTTGTTTGTTACTGTAAATAAATTAATTAAATTGAATTTTATTCCAATAAAATAGTATAGTAAAAAGAAATCACATTGTCAGAAATTAGGCCATCCTAGGTGGGATTCGAACCCACGGCCTTTGTAGTAAAAGTATAACGCGTTGCTCATTGCGCTACAGGGATACAGTGAGCGATAATATATATAGATATATATGGTGAAATAATGGATATCAATCATGATAGCGAAAATAAATTTCAAAAAAGCGATGAACATAAAGCATTTGAGCTGAAAGGAAAATTTTCAAATGGTACCTGAAAAACTCCATCAAGAACGATATTACACCAAAATTGTACCACAGGACACACTGCGCCCTGTCAGAAAGACACTATCCAAGAAAGTGTTCTGCATATTATTTGTCAATCATCAAAGGACAATAAAACAATAACTTCAGCAAAATCAGAGAATTTTGCTTACAAGTATCACACCTGTAATGTTAGTGAAAAATGTCTGTGATTTGTGTCCTTTATTAAAGAAACGCACATTTGAAACATTTCAGTTCAGTTTGATTGGATTTTTTCTGGAATTATTAAAGAAAAATTGAAAAGTCCGTAAAAGTACGTAGGTGTTGCGCCAGGGGCGCAGCTACCACCGTATCAATGATACGGGGACCCGACACGCGTAAGCAAAAAGTCGTAAAATGTTATCATTAGCATAGTTCTTTTAAAAAATCGTCGATCACTGTTTTCAAACGGTTAAATTTTTTCCACATCTTTGTTCCCACGATAAGAGATCTTTAAAAGCAGATGTCGTTATACTCAAAATAATGAGAAAGCAAGGAGTAATATAGAATCGGAAAAGCGACCTTCTTCAAATGATTTGTTACAGCATATATGTAATTCTACATTTGTCAAGTCTCTTCTAGTAACAGGTATGGATGGATGAAGGAAGTCAGATGAGCTTGGGTATGCTATTCCTCTTTCAACGAGAACTTCGTTGAGAGTAGTGTATTTTGTTCTATTTGTTAGAGAAATAATTTATGTCCATATTTTTAAGTTCAGATTTGTAGTCTTTTATCCTGTTGTATCTGGCAATGAAATAATACGATGATGGATTTAATGAATTGCTTCAGAACTGTAAAACCAGCTAGTAGAAATGTAATTTAGTGACGGAGTGAGCGGAATAATGATGTTTAATATTTCCATCTCCTGAAATGGTTGTAAATTTATTTCACTTGTAATATATTTAATCATGGTGCGCGGTAAAAAATTACAATTACACGCGGTAAAAAATTATTAATTCATTTTTTTATCAGGCATTTTCCTAGCAGATTACCTGAAAAGGGGGCAGTTTTGAAAAGTCAGATGTCCTGTATCAAAAATTAGGTATTCTATAACTTAAAAAAAGTGCAGATAAAGTTTTGAAATTCTACCGTATGCTTAGAATGATTGAAGGTGTCACGTGAGTCAATAAAAAAAATATCGATATTTTGATGATTTTTAGGGTACCATGTCTTAAATTGTACTTCCCATTCCACTCTGTTAATCCTATTTCTTTGGTTGTGATTATTTGAGTGGTGAACTGTTCAAAATATGAGCGGAAATAGATCATGCCCAATAGGGTATAATCTATCTATCAATCATCTATGACCACTATAGTGGCGCTTTAAAACGCAAAATAATAATAATAATATTAAGACGTTGCAAAGAAAATTCCAAAAATTTCATCTGTTTTTAAAAACGCAAAATAATAATAATAATAATAAGACGTTGCAAAGAAAATTCCAAAAATGTCATCTGTTTTTCAACAATCAAAAAGTACGACTTACTTGAATTGTAAAGGTAAGATTTTTTTTTCATTATTTCCTTACATTATATAATGGAGTTTATTATTAATCCGACTTCAGTCTTACACGCTAGAAACGTTACATGTAACGCCTTGTAAAAACACGTAAAATAGTAAAAAAGGAATTACATTCAAAGTTCTTTCAAGCCATGTAATATGAAATTAAAAACGTATTTTAAAAATTGCGTACATTTATCATGAATCTTAAATTTATACCTGTTTCAGTAATCAAAATAAAATCAAGAACGCATCCATATTGTTTCAGCATAGGACAAGATATAGAAATGTTAGAAATAATAAATTATTCGCTTCTACCAGTGGCGTAACGGAGAACTTTTGGGCCCCCCTGCAAAGTCAGGTTTGGGGTCCCCATGTTGGTGGAAGGGGTAGATAGGTGGAGGCCCCTGATCACAAAAAATTGGGTAGGCACTTGCGTCAGTCAGGCTCTGAACCCCTTTAGAACCCTGGGCCCATACCTGCAATGTTGAAATCCGTCGTTCATCCAGTATAGTGGTTAGCGACCCTGACTGCTGTGCCGTAGGGCCTGGGTTCGAATCCCGGAGAAGACACGGATGTTTGTGAAGTATAGTACTATAGGGGAGTACTATAAATAGCCAAAACCAAGCAGTCTTCGCGCGCAGGCGCATCAATAAAGTAAAAGCAGAACTGAAACGTGAATTAGTCGCGAGAGGTGCGCGAGCAGGCGTTACCTTCTAATATCACCGTCGAACCGTCAAGTCCTTTCGTGAGGTTGGTGGAAGGGGTAGATAGCCTAAAGTGGGAGGCCCCTGATTCCGCTCCCAGGTTGGAAAACCCATCCTCCCTCAAAATTGGGGTGGAAATGAGACAAATCATACTATCACCTGCTGGCCTTTGAGGATCCAATCAGGTGGCAAAGTCACACTAACAACATGTACATTTGAAAACCAGTAAAGGTTCTCAATTTATAATAGCGTTTTTAGAGAAAATGAACTGCCTTTTCCGAAACTAACATAGAAAATATGATATGTTGCGGTTTTCCAATAATTAGAACATTTTTCTTTAATCAATTTTAATAAATCTTCTGCGAAACTTTTTTTATGATTTACACAGCTGTTTTGGTTTTAAATTCATTTAAAAATGAAAATTCATCATATAATTTTAGGTATCAAACTAATTAAATACACGCATCATGAGATAATTTTTAAGTCAAAAACGGAGTTTTGATCCCTTTTTTTTAAAAAAGGTTAAAGAGAACTTTATTAGTTCTTTTACAAAATCTATCACAAAAGCTTAACTATTAGTAAATATCTGAATTTCGTTCCTATTTTCCAAGAGCAATGAACAACCTAAAAGATATTACACGATTGTTTTCCTTTTCAATTAATTTACTCTAAATTAATCGTTTCAAATGTGATAGGAAAACAATCAGAAATGATCTAAGGATTATAAAACTGTATATAAAAGGATCTGTGTAAAATAAAGTTGATATATTTTTTGCTCAAAATCTTTATTTACTATCATAAGGGCATGAAGTTGGGGTTATTATTGTTCAGTGTTTTTAAGACTTTTTTAAAAAGAAAATACATATTATAAAATAGAAGATTTATAATTCGCAAATTATTTTAATCTATTTTCATTTTTTCTCAGTAACATAAATTTCCCATGGGGAGAATCTGAAAAAATTAAATTTTTGTGATTGTGGTGCTTGTGCTCAAATATTTTGATGAAGTGATTAAGGCAAATAGTAGAACAAAAGTTAAGGCTACAAAGTACTTAAAAATCGACACAAAATCCATTTTTATTTAATTTATTGCATTTTCCTGTGGCTTTTATAATTGGTAAGCATGTTCCTAAATTTAAAATTTGATAATCAATCAGTTTTTAAGATATTTGAAGTCTACTGAGTTTATGTTTTAGTTTCGATTTCACACATTTCGAAGCTTTTTTACCATTCTTAAAAAATGAATTAAAAATATTTTTGAACACACTCAATTCTTTCAGCTTAAAAGATTAATAATTTGAATTTTTACTACTAAAATCATTTCTGTTTGTTTTGATTTTTTTTGAGTGCTCATAGTTACTTAACCAAGGTTGATTTCAAGATTAATATTTGTTTTTACATATAGTTGATATAACTTAACTGTTTTTTTACTTTGTTTAGGAAATCCATTCAGTCAGAGAGCTCGCAGAATTACTATTAATTAATTTCAATAACCTCGCTTTCAGTGTTTCGAATATTATAATAGTATGCCTGCTATTTAACTCTTCCAGTCACAAGTGCAACAGTTGAAAGAAGCTTTTCTAAACTAAAAATTATTAAAACTTCCATAGGGAAAGACCGGTTATCAGACTTAGAACTATTGTCAATAGAAACTGAAGAACTGGAGAGAGAGAGAGAGAGAGAAAAACTAAAATCTTCTTCTACTGTAATTATTATCATAAATGCCTTTGCAATAAAAAAAATCGAGAAAAGTACCTAATAAACTCATAAGTACCTAATCCTTACTCAATAAAGTTTTTTTTTACGTATATCTATGTGTAATTATTTCAACACTTTCAAATAAATTTTGTTTATGTGATCATTTTTACTAATTCTTAAAAAGGCCCCCCCCCCGAAGGAATTTTGATACGGGGCCCACTCAGGATTAGCTACGCCAGTGTGTTGCGCCCAGTGTGTTGTGAAGCGAGCTGTTGAAAACTAGGGACAGAGAACTGTTGAAAGAAACTGAAGAGATGAGATGTATGGAAGCGAGAGAGTGGAATGCGTTATGTAGCGGTTTTTGTAAAAAGTATAGTATAAAAATTATGCTTGTAAATAAACATTAGTTGTCTATCAAAAGAAACCTTTTGGCTGTCAACTTCACGAGAGCTTCCTATTTAGTTAATAACGATCCCATGGATCTAATAAGAAAACCACAGTATGTATACTTTCTTTTAGTTAAGTTATTCACTGAAATCATGATTTTTATCGTGTACAACAAAAATAATTATAAAAAAAAGGATTGGGGTTACTCCGTCACCCCGCTTGACCACTAACGTTAGTATAGAGTGTACGCCTTCTACCATGTTAATTATCAGATTTTGTATGAAAACATTTATATTTATTTTAGAAGCATCCAGCCAAACAATACCTATCGCAATATTTTGCTATATAATATAAGTTCTATTAACAAAAACTTTTTTATAATTTTTTGTAAAAGGGTCTTCGGAGAATGGGTGGTGTGCACGGAGGGAATCATGAACGGATTTGAGACTGGTTTAGCTGTTTACACTTTTTTGAAATGAAACTTCTTTAGGCTCGAGAGTGACTAAGAAATTTGACCAGCTTTGCGTTAGGGTGAAAAAGCGAACGGAAGTA